ATTTTATTAGAGTGATGTGCTGTTCCTGTCGAATGTGGGACATCAGGAAGCATTTGTGTTCCTAGAGACCATGTCTGCAGGAAGTGTGCTTAGTTCCATATCCTATCGGATCACATAAGTCGGTTAGAGTGGCAATTAGAGGCAACAAGGAATTTACAGGAGCCAGGGGTGTGGCTGAATGGCAGTTTCAGGAACGTAGAAAAAAACACAGATACAGTCAGGTTATTACTAGGAAAGGTAGGTGAGGTAGACAGGTAATGCAGCAGTCTTCTCTATGGCTATCCCCAGCTCAAACTAACATACTGTTTTGGATACTGAACGGGTGATTACCTCTCAGCACTGACGGCCAGGTTTCTAGTGCCCTGACTGGCTCTACTGTAAAGAGGGGTTTATCAGGTTCCAAGCTATCGATCATGATAAGGGACTCTCTAGTCGGGCAGAGACTGGCGTTTCTATGGCTGTCGGTAAGACATCAGAATGATGTGTTGCCTCCCTTAAGCCAGGGTCAAGGATGTCTCTGAGCGGGTGCAGAATATTCTGAAAGGGGAAAGTGACCAGCAGAAGTCATTGTATACTTTAGTACTAATGACATGAGTAGAGAAAGGGGCGAGGTTCTGCAGAGAGAATAATGGAAATTAGACAGGAGGTTTAAAAAGTAGGTCCTTGAGGATTGTAATCTCTCAATGACTCCTGGTGCCATGTGCTAGTGAAAGGAATAGGTGGATACAGCAGATTAGTATGTGGCTAAGGAGCTGGAGTAACAGACAAAGGTTCACATTTTAATGTCCTTCCATCATATTTTGAGGAAGGAAGTTCCAAATCTTCATGACCCTCTGAGGGAGGAATAAAATATCTTCTTATCCCACCCTGTTGAAACCCCTCAGGATCTTATACTTTGATCAAGTTGTCCCTTGCTCTTCTGTACTCTAATGGCTACAAGCCTACACTGACCAACCTTTCATCATTAGACAACTCCTGATTTTAATAAAATTTTGAAATGTTTCTGCTAAACATATAAATGCTATTTTAGAGTGAACTCTATTTGTTTGTTTCAGGTTCATGACTAAATTTGGAATATTCTAAGAACATGTAGAAACGTACCAGACTGAAGACATTCCAGTTTAATTCTGCATGCTCTTGTGTAAAAGTGTTACAAGCATCCTTCCAGGGTCAGTGTTATGTGAGCCTTGACTTCGGACAGTCAATTATGTTGGTTCAAGCGCACATGCTGACTGACACCCTTAACATAAGTATTGAAGGAAGAAAAGTCAGTGGGCTTATTTTTTAGATTAAGCTGATGGAAGTATGCTAGAAGGACATCAGAATAGTTAAGTCTGAAGATTCCAAATGTATGCAGGCTTCAAGAATGGAGTGAGTGATGTTTCAGAAAGTGGTGTTCTTGATAAATTTGTAAATGAACTATGTGAAAGCATGGTGGAAGCAGATTCAATAGTAACTTTCAAAGGGAATCGGATAAATGGAATTGAAATACTTGTAATGGTATTGCATTCTCTCTAAAAGATTGGGCCTAGCTACAAAGAGTCAAATGGCCTCCTTTCGTACTATGCCTGTCTGTACCATACCTTCACCCCTGTGGTTGCTGAACTACATGCCTTCCTATTCAATAAACTTTGATTTTAAAACTTTCTGTTAAAATTCTGCATGATCTTCTATTCCCAGCCCCAGTCTATGTTAATGTCCTTTCCTCCAGCCCTACCACTCCTCTGATTCTAGACACATGCATCTCCAAATTTAATCATTCCACTGTTGGTAATCAGGCCTTCAGTTTTCTGAGCCTGATCTGCTGGAATTTCCTACCATATTTAAGGCACTCTTTAAAACTCATCTCCTTGTCTCTCTTTTAATGCATCCTTAAATTATTTGGTTCTAATCCTATCTGTTACTGGAACACTCTTGTCTATTAGGAGCGTGGAAGTGAAGACAGTTAATAATTTTAGAAGGAAATTGGATTGGTGTTTGAGGGAATTGAACTTGTAGGGCCTTTGGGGGTGGGGCAAGGGATTGGCACACTCTGAATTCTACAGAGAGCTGATGTTGATTTGATGGATCAATGGTAACCCTCCTATTCTGTAAGCTGCTATGGATACTTAATGGAAAGTCTAGTGCATCGTATATTTGCCTCTGAAGGTTCAAGTCCAGGAACTTTAGCAAGAAAATTCAGGTTGACACCCCAGTGCAGTGCTGAGCGATTGCTGCGTTGAGGTTCTGTCTGATGAGTCATTGAGCTGCATTTGCCTCAGTTGGATCTAAAAGATCCCATGATTCTGTTTTTAAAGAGCAGAGGGGCTGTCCCTGAGACTTTAGCCAACATTTTTCCCTCCATTAGTATTGTTGCATGTTATCAGATCATTATCATGTGTGCAAAATGGCTGCTGTATTTTTCACATTACATGAGTAACTTCACTTCCCAAAGCATTTTGCAGGCAATGCAGTATTTCTGATGTCCCAAGCTGATGAAATAAATAAACACAGCATTGGAATCTGAGGGAATAGGAGTGGGGAGTGGAGAGGGGAAGGGGTGTATAAACCTGATTTTTGGAGGAGTGAGGAGGTAATGGTGCAGTGTCAACAAGTGAAGCCATTGCTCTCTTTGGTCTGATACCTAAAAGACCAAGTGGCAGTCACTCTACAGTGGTCAATGGGCATGAATGTTCCAAATTTGAGAATACAAACAATGGAACTCCCAGCTGTCACAGTTTGTCTACTCAATCCATCTGTAAACCTTTTGTAACTTGTTGAGAGTGTGAAAGAATTTTTTTCTCTTTGTACCTCTCCCACCTCCAAAACAAATCTTGCTATGAGACTTGGCTAGCCCCACAGGACTGAAGGATGGTATGATTCAACATCATCCAGGGAGGCAACAGCCTGGTGGTATTATTGCTGGACTGTTAATCCAGAGACCTAGATAATGTTGTAGGGATCCTGTTGAAAATCCGCCATGGGATTGTGGAATTTGAAATCAATAAATATTTGGAATTGAGAGTCTAATGATGACTGAATCCATTGTTGATCATCGGAAGAACCCATCTGGTTCATTAATGTCCTTTAGGAAAGGAAACTCCTATTCTTACCTGCTCTGGTCTACATGTGACTACAGACCCACAGCAATGTTGTTGACTCATAACTGCCCCCTGGACAATTAGGGATGGACAATAAATGCTGGCCTAGCTTGTGATTCCCATGAATGAGTTTTTAAAAAGAAATTACTGAGGTGCCATACATAGAGGCAAAACAACATAGTTACAACTGGTTTAGCCAGTTAAAGTATGCCCAGAAGTGGACATGACAGTTGAGACTGAAGGACTCTGGATAGGTTGCAGAAGAGATTTGTTAGAATGGATCCAGGGATAGTTCTCAGTTATGGTTAGGGAAGCTGCTGGTGGTCCACTAAGCGCAGAGAAGGGCAAGAGACTTGCAGTATAGAGAGCTTTTTGCAACCACAGAATATCACAAAGCACTTCACAGGAGATGAAATACTTTTTATTTGTAATCATTGTTATAATACAGGAAATGTGGCAGAAATTTGGGAGCATAAATTGTCACAGCCAGATTAGGTAATTTACTTTAGTGATGTTCATTGAAGAGTGAATGTTGACTAACATACTGGGAAGATCTTCCCAGTTTTGGATCTAGGTCTGAAACGGTTAATACCTGATTGAGGACATTAAGCACCACCTGCTGTGATGATGTCCTGAGGATTTGGTGAGAGAGTAAAGTCATAGGTCTTATGGGAGACTAACCTATGGCCAGGTCTTCTCAACAGTCTTTACAGTAATGCAGAGCCAATTATAACATATGAATTTTTTGCAGGGATGCAATAAACTCTTGCTTACTCCAGAAAATTCATTAGACTAGAGGATGGCTGCCTTTGCATGCCTTAAACCATGGAAACCCCTAAAGAATACATACACCTACAGGAAATAGATGGCCACGTACATAATACCCTGTTCTTCAGAATGGTGCCCTAGGACATTTTGCATCTGTCTGAGCAGCAGGCTAGAGCTGAGTTTCTAGCTTGAGTTCAAGTGTGGGCCTTTAACCAAATCTTGTGCTTTGAGGTGAGAGTGCTATCCGCTGAGCTATGGCTGACACCAGAGAGCAGGGTTGCTAGAGCTGTTTAAAATCTCACATGCTTGTCTTCATTTTCTCAGAACATTGAGTATAGGAGTTGTGATGTCATGTTGTGGCTGTACAGAGCATTGGTGAGGCCACTTTTGGAGTGCTGTGTACAATTTTGGTCGCCCTGCTATAGAAAGCATGCTGTAAAACTTGAAAGGGTGCAGAAGAGATTTACAAGAATGTTGCAAGCTTTGGAGGGTTTGAGTTATAGGGAGAGGCTGAGTAGGCTGGGGCTAGTTTCCCTGGAGCATCAAAGGCTGAGCGGTGACCTAATAGAGGCTAATAAAACCATGAGCATGGATAAGGTGAATAATCAAGATCTTTTCCCCAGGGTAGGGCTGCCCAAAACTAGAGGGCATAGTTTAAGGTAAGAAGAGACCCAAGAGATAACTTATTCACACAGAGGGTGGTGCATGTGTAGAACAAGCTGTCAGGGGAAGTGGTGGAGGCAGGTACAGTTACAACATTTACAAGACATTTGGGCAGGTACATGAATAAGAAGGGTTTAGAGGGATATGGGCCAAATGTTGGCAAATGGGACTAGGTCAGATTGGCATGTCCGGTTGGTGCGTACACATGGGTCTGTTTCCATGCTGTGTGACTTTGAGTTAAAGCATTTATACACTGCAAGTGACTAAGTTTGGAATTTGTTACCTGATAGTTGCAGATGCAAGCTAAAAATGGCTTCAAAAGGAATTGGAAAAGACTTCGAACACTTGTAAGGTGATGGGAAAGTGCAGGGGAGTGGGACTAACTAGGAGGAACTGGCACAGACTCTGGGTCACATGGTCATCTGTACTACATTTCTATGATTCTGTTGTAATTTAAAACTTGAAATCTCTTGTTTGTAATTGTTTCAGTTACAGATGATATGTACGCAGAGCAGTCTGAAAATCCAGAGAACCCACTGCGGTGTCCCATCAAACTCTATGACTTCTACCTCTTTAAATGGTGAGTATACTTGCATTCTGGTTAATGTTTCAGAATATAGCTTCTGTAAGCTGCTACAACCCAATGCTTCTTGCTGCTTGTGACTTTAAACTGGATCAGATCTATTAATCTGTCTTGTTATTCTTCTGGCCTTTTAGCATTAGAGATATTCCTTGTTGGGCATCACCAATCACCCCAAAAAATGAATATTTCAACTCTAATAAGTATTCTTTTATCAATCCAATATCAGGGTAAGTGTAGTGAAACCCAGGAATTGAAGAAGGGATCCTTGTTGCTATGCCTGAGTATGGGGATTACTGTCATGTGGCCAGATTCTCACTAGCTCGGGTGATGAGCCCACCGGCACATACTAGAAGTACAGGTACAGATGTCTCAAATCTGTCCTTCCAGAAACTGGTGATGTCTGAAATAGAACTGAAATTTTAAGCTGCCATCACCTGACTTTGCCTCCTCTAGGACATCTTTGATCTAACTGGAAATCCTTGGAGCTGCTCCCACTTCTCCATCCACACAGTACTGAGGTGCAACAAGGATCTTAGTTTCATGCAAAGCTGAACTTGCAGCAAACTAACATGGAATTGTTCTGAAGCAGCTCCAGAAGCATTTCCCAGCTTATCTTGCAGAATTGTCTCCTTTTCAAAACTGTCTTTTGCAACCCTTTTAGTTAGACAACATACCCTTAATTCTCTACAAGCCTGACTTGAGCTGCCTGCAAACCAGCAAGATCTCAAATTTACCGTGAGCTGTGTACCATGGTTGCCGCTTTTGAGAGGCTCTACCTTTTCAGGGGTATGATTATATTAAATGCAAGTGTTTTTCCTCCATATGGAAAACTTTTGCTTCCTCCATTTGAATCCCTGATGTGAGCTTGATCTTTGTTTAGTGGCAGTTCATCTTGTTAAACACTATTGGATTGTCTGAGTGGTTTTGCACTTCAGCTTGCATCAGACTTAATGTAAACTGGGAGAAAGCTGGCGACAACTATTTAAAATTACATCCATGTACGACACAGAAACAAGCCATTCAGCCCAATTAGACTGTTCTGGTGTTTACACTCCCTATGAGTCTTCTACTAGAGTTGAATAGAACCCCTACAGTGTGGACCAGACCATTCGGCCCAACAAGTTCACACAGAGCATCCCAACCAGATTCACCCCCTACCCTATCTCTGCAACCCTGCATTTCCCTTAGCAAATCCACCTAGCCTGCACATCCTTGGACACTATGGGCAATTTAGCATGGCCAACCCACCTAACCTGGACATCTTTGTCCGGGAGGGAAACTTGGAGCCCCTGGAGGAAACCCACACAGATATGGGGAGAATGTGCAAACTCCACACAGTCAACCAAGACTGGAATTGAACCTGGGTCCCTGGTGTTGTGAGGCAGCAGTACTAACCACTGAGCCACCGTGCAACCCATTGCAGTGACCTCACCTCCGCCTTCTGCCTTTTACTTTCAACTCCCTTTTCACGTGTAGTTTTGTTTTGAAAGTCTGAGTAATTTGCTTCAAGTAGTTCCTATGGTAGTGAGAAGCAAAATCCAACCACTTAGTAAAGACATTCTCATTCTCATTTGGCTGTTGGATTTATTAATAAATAGGAGCTTTGGGTTCTTCCACTAGCGGAAACATTCTATCTGCAGAGATCCCGTCCAACCCTTTTCATAATGTGAAAGGTCTCTGTCAGATCACCTCTTGGGTGTTTCTTTTCTCACGAATCAAGCCCCAACCGTAGAATTGTACAGTACAGAAGAGGCACTTCAGTCCATTAAACCTGTATCACCAAAAATGCTCTAAATCTACATTTCCACTTTCCAGCATTTGGTCCATAGGCATAGAAGTTGTGACATTCATATACAGCATTCTCTTCATGCATCATTCCAGAATCTGTCTGGTAAACAGTCTTGTTGGTGGAGTTGTGGATAGCGTGGAGGGCTGTTGTAGGTTGCAATGGGACATTGACAGGATGCAGAGCTGGGCAAAGAAGTGGCAGCTTGAATTCAACCCAGAAAAGTGTGAAGTGATCCATTTTGGAAGGTCGAATTTGAATGCAGAATACAGGGTTAATGGCAGGATTCTTGGCAGTGTGGAGGAACAGAGGGATCTTGGGGTCCACATCCATAGATCCCTCAAAGTTGCTATCCAAGTTGATAGGGTTGTAAAGAAGGTGTATGGTGTGTTGGCTTTCATTGGCAGGGGAATTGAGTTTAAGAGCCGTGAGGTTATGCTGCAGCTCTATAAAACCCTGGTTAGGCCTCACTTGAAATATTGTGTTCAGCTCTGGTTGCCTCGTTATAGGAAAGATGTGGAAGCTTTAGAGAGTGTGCGGAGGAGATTTACCAGGATGCTGCCTGGACTGGAGGGCAGGTCTTAGAAAGAAAGGTTGAGGGAGCTAGGGCCTTACTCAATAGAACTGAAGAAGGATGAGAGGTGATCAGAGTGGATACTAGAGACTTTTTCCCAGGGCGGAAATGACTACTTAGAGGGGACATAATTTTAAGGTGATTGGAGGAAGGTATAGGGTCACTGTCAGAGGTGGGTTCTTTACACAGAGAGTGGTAGGTGCGTGGAATGCGCTGCCGGTGGTGGTAGTGGAGTCAGATACATTAGGGACGTTTAAGCAACTCTTGGATAGGCACATGGATGATAGTAAAATTTAGGGTATGCAGGGTAGTTTGATCTTAGAGTATGATATTAGGTCGGCACAACATCGTGGGCTGAAGGGCCAGTACTGTTCTGTGTTCTAAACCTTTGTTGCATTTCCTCCGTAACCAGAACATCCTTCCTCAGATAAGGAGACTAAAACTGCACTTAATACTCCATGTGTGGCTATAAATTGAGAGAGCAGAATGTGCAAGTGGATTATCAGATTATCAGGGGATTTATCTGCCTTCAATCACATCAGTTTCCCCAACACATTTCCCTACTCAATGATTTCCTTCAGTTCCTCCCTCTCAATAAATCCTGTGTTTCCCCAACGTTTCTGACATGATGTTTCTCATTTGTGAAGACAGAACCAATGTACGTATTTAGTTGTTCAGCTAGCTGTAAGAAGACAGAGGGTGGTGGTTGATGGGAAATGGTCATCCTGGAGTTCAGTTACTAGTGGTGTACCTCAAGGATCTGTTTTGGGGCCACTGCTGTTTGTCATTTTTATAAATGACCTGGATGAGGGCGTAGAAGGATGGGTTAGTAAATTTGCGGATGACACCAAAGTTGGTGGAGTTGTGGATAGTGCGGAAGGATGTTGCAGGTTACAGAGGGACATAGATAAGCTGCAGAGCTGGGCTGAGAGGTGGCAAATGGAGTTTAATGCGGAAAAGTGTGAGGTGATTCACTTTGGAAGGAGTAACAGGAATACAGAGTACTGGGCTAATGGTAAGATTCTTGGTAGTGTGGATGAGCAGAGAGATCTCGGTGTCCATGTGCATAGATCCCTGAAAGTTGCCACCCAGGTTGATAGCGTTGTTAAGAAGGCGTACGGTGTGTTAGGTTTTATTGGTAGAGGGATTGAGTTTCGGAGCCATGAGGTCATGTTGCAGCTGTACAAAACTCTGGTGCGGCCGCACTTGGAGTATTGCGTACAGTTCTGGTCACCGCATTATAGGAAGGATGTGGAAGCATTGGAAAGGGTGCAGAAGAGATTTACCAGGATGTTGTCTGGTATGGAGGGAAGGTCTTATGAGGAAAGGCTGTTTTCGTTAGAGAGAAGAAGGTTAAGAGGTGACTTAATAGAGACATACAAGATGATCAGAGGATTAGATAGGGTGGACAGTGGGAGCCTTTTTCCTCGGATGGTGATGGCTAGCACGAGGGGACATAGCTTTAAATTGAGGGGTGATAGATATAGGACAGATGTCAGAGAGTAATAAGGGCGTGGAATGCCCTGCCTGCAAAAGTAGTAGACTCGCCAACTTCAAGGGCATTTAAATGGTCATTGGATAAACATATGGATGATAATGGAATAGTTTAGGTTAGATGGGCTTCAGATTCATTTCACAGGTTGGCGCAACATCGAGGGCCGAAGGGCCTGTACTGCGCTGTAATGTTCTATGTTCTATTTCTTTGTCCCCCATTATAAACTCCCCTGTTTCTAGATGCAAGGGACCTATATTGGTCTTCAATATTTTTCTCTTCAAATACTATAGAAACGTCTACAGTCAGTTTTTATGTTCCCTGCAATCTGACTAATGCATTGCCTCTTCCTTAAATCTAATATTATCTCTAATTTCCCTTATAAGTCGTGATTCGGCAACCTTTCCTGTTTTATTTTTGTGCCAGATGTGAATGAACAATTGTTATAGTTTACTCATACACTTTGAATATTTGCCATTACTTTTCTGCCATCATCCCTTTAAGTAACATCCTTAATACCCTCCCCTGTCCTGCCCAAAGATCCGATACCTGGGAATGTTGATTTGCCAGTGCTGACCTTTTTCTTAACCACATCTCTGTCATGGCAACAACATCGCAATTCCACATGTCAATCCATATCCTTAACTCATCTGTCATCCTTCTAATATTTCTAGCATTAAAATAGGGGTCTGCTCCCCCCAATATTTGCAGCTTCCCCTACCTGACCCCCATATCCAGCCCTGAAGAAGGGTAATACCAGAAGCATTGACTTCTTCTTTCCTCCAGGTGCTGCCTGGCCTGCTGTGTTCTCCCATTTGCCTGTTTGTCTACCTTGGATTCCAGCATCTGTGTTTTTTTCTCTCTAAATCCTTCAGCCTTGCCTTACTTCCTGGAAATTCAAACATGGTTGAATTCCCTCTGCCTTGGTTCCTTTACTAACGTACTCTGTGTCCCTGTTGTACTAACAGTGTCTCCTGCCCTTGCTGAACTGTTTTAAATTCCTCCCAACAGCAGTAGCAAACACACCCACAAGGGCTATTGTTATTCAGGTGCAGACCATTCTGCTTGTACAGATTCCAGTGATCCAGCAATCAAAAACTCTCACTTCTGCACCAACTCTTGAGCCATGCATTCAGCTGCCGTATTCTCATTAGCACACGGTATCACGAGTAATCCAGAGATTACAACCTTTTGAGGTCCTGTTTAGTCTACTGTATAGGTCCCTAAATTCTTGATGCAAGACCTCATTCCTTGTTCTCCACTATATCATCAGTAGCAATGTGTACCACGACCTCAGACTTGTCACCTTCCCCCCTGCAGGATACCCTACAACCATGACATCCGTAACCCTGGCACCAGGGAGACAACGCACCATCCCGGAGACATGTTGACAGCTACAGAAATGCCTGTCTGTTCACCTAAATAATGAATCCCCTATCACTATCGCTCCTGTTTTCTTCTTCCTCTCCTCCTGTATAGTCAGGTCGTTTGTGGCACCAGAACCTTGACTCTGTCTGCACTCCCTTGAACAAGTGGAAAACAGATTTGTGAGCAGGACCTTAGGGGACTCCTGCACCACCTGTCCCTTTTTGACTGCCTGGTGGTCATACCATTGCTTCTTTGCCCCAGTCCCTTGAGCTGTGGTGTGACCACCTCTCTAAACATGCTATCCATGTAACACTCAGCCTTGTGGATATGCCACAGTGTCTCCAGACACCGCTCTGAGTTCCAAAAGACAAAGCTCAAGTTTCTGTAGTTGGGATCACCTCCTGCACATGTTGTCATCTTGGATGCTAGTGGGTCAGTGACTTCCCACGTATGACATGTCATATGTTCCACTCCGCTGACTTCACCTGCCAAGACTTTGAGAGAGTTCGGAAGAGATTTACCAGGATGTTGCCAGGAATGGAGAGTTTGAGTTATAAGGAGAGGCTGGGTAGGCTGAGACTTTTTCCACTGGAGTGTAGAAGGTTGAGGGGTGACGTTATAGAAGTTTATGAAATCATGAGTAGTATAGATAAGGTGAATGGCAGGTGTCTTTTCTATAATGTGGGGCATTTCAAGACTAGGGGACATTTTTAGGATGAGAAGAGAAAGATTTTAAAAAGACTGACTAGGTTTGTGACACTGCCACGATGCTTCCATCTTTGCCTTAATCCTGATACATCTGATCTCTGCTTTCTGGCACCGCGCTTGTAAATCTAGTTTATACTTTTCCTCCACTGTGGAAAAACTCTCTTGTTGCATTAAATGCAGTAATACAGAAACCTGTGAGGAAAGTTTGTGTTAAGAGATGTGGGAGGAATTCTGCTTTTCCCAAATAACCTGCAATAATATTTTGTTTAGTCCCCAGAGTGTGAAGGGCAGGAATGACACCTTTTACCTGACACCTGAGCCTGTGGTCGCCCCAAACAGCCCGATCTGGTACTCCACCCAACCAATCAATAAAGATCACATGGAACAAATGTTGACTCGGATTCTGACAGTGCGAGAAATCCAGGAAGCTTTTGCCATAGCTGCTGCGAACCTGCACTAAACCCTGGATGTGAACCGAGGAGCGACATGCACCTTGTGTACTGCGGCAACACACAGATTAGTGCAGCTTCAACAAAGTCTTTTGGAAGTTTCAGGAAAATGTCATCAGATGTGTATCTGCGGATAATATAGTTTAATCGGGTTTCAATACCAGATACAAGGAATCTGGCAATTACTTTACTCAGTGGGCAATTTGATTTTTTTTTTGTTTTGAACCCATAGCAGCATTTTGTTGGATGCAGAAAATCCTGTCGACATTTGGAAACCCTGTCATGAACTCCCATCGCAAGGAACGCCAGAACCCTCAGGGTGAACTCATCATGTGATTGGTGTAAGACAGGCTTGTTGTAATACTTCTACCAATTGCTGACGTAGACTGGGCCTCCACTGAAAAGAATTGGACATGAAAAGGAGAATGAGAAACTGATGAAGGTTTATAAAATTAACAAGCTTTTCAGTACTTAAAAAAAAAATGATGTTTTTAGACAGTGACTAGAACTGAAGACGTTTCACACATCTGGCCTTGTGCAGAGGCCTCAACTCCAGGCAAAGTGCACAGAGGAAATTATTGTAATATACTCGTGTACCATTATAAAGAGACCTTTCTGTTTCTCTGTGTTTCTGTTCTAATAGTCTGTACAACACAGCAAGTAACTTTCAGCCTAGGATGAAGCAAAGAGATTTTCATTGTGGCAAAATGAAGTACACAGCTTGGGGAAGTGGGAGGGGTCATCTTGTACTTGCTCGTTTCCCGTGTGTAGCGCACTCATTGGTCAGCTGGCAGTATACTGTTTGCTAAACTTTTCAAAATGAAATGAAGTCACTCATTAGGTCAAATAATTTCCACTACTTTCCAATCTTCACTTTTAGTCCACTTGATGCTTCTCTTCGTTACTGCCATGTTTAGGCTAAGGCACTATTAATACCTGAGGATGCTGTAACATTATGACCTGGTAAATTTGGCATTAATCCTGGTACTGTATTTATTGTGATACTTAAATATCACAGTCATGGTGTAAAGATACAGTGACTTTATTTTGGGAAAAAGTTGATTTTATACTTTTTTTGCTAGAAAGGAGATGATTTGTTATGACTATATTGCAATATTTCGAGTGTCACATGATCCGAAATTTGCTGTGTTTCCCAATTCTGTACAGGGTTGTAAAGTTAAATTGCAATCTTTATCTGCCAATACTGTGAAACTGATCTTGTTGAACATAACCCATAATGTAGGAAAACAAACTGTCATGATGTTCTTCAGTGGTTTGAATTAACACAGGGCTTAGCTGATCTAGTTTTAGGCATTAGAGTATTTTGAAAATACTGAATGCTATATGATCCACGTTTCAGTTTGTGTTCTGAAAAACACGCCTTAGATTGAATGCTTTGGTACAGAGCTGAAATCTTGTTTCTCTTAGTTGCATTTTGTTCTTGGAATGACTGCATGCTCAGATTCTAGCAGAAGGTGAGTTTGTTTAGTCAAGCAAAGGGGCAATTAGTCTGATTTTTGTTTTAATGCGTAAATGTAAGATTTGGTCAACTATGGTAATACTGTAGCTATCCAGCAACACCTTCTGTTGATTAGTTTGGGTATGTGCATCAGATTAAGAGCTCGGAGAGGTTAGGAGTATCCCTGCTGGTTCCCCTTCAATCTGGCAATCTGAGTGCCTTCTGATGCTTGCTTAGCATCTACATTACCAGAGTGGACGGTGATTGCCAATCAGGGGGTCAGGATCTACTCATCTAGTGTACTTGCTACCAGGAGACGTGAGCTGTGCTGCAGTGAGGCACAGAGATCTGACTGGATCTGTGGAACATACTGTTCCAAGTGTGTTTCTTTAACCTGCCTCTCTCCTGCCCCTCCGCACCTTCCTCCACTGACTAAATTGATGCTGTTAATTCGCAGCTATGTAACTTTCATTCACATTTTGTGAAAATAAGTCTTTAAATCAAATATAAGTTTTTCTTTTCAAGAAAGTGGTGCTTTCAGCTTTAAAAAGAATTATGGTTCTGCATATCGGATTTTGGAGGATGATAGAAAACCTCTGACTTTTTTTTTAATTGAGGTTATTTGATAAAGGAGCTGCTCTTGAAACAGCACATTCCCTGAGCAATCAGCCCTAACTGGGAACAAAGCAATGGCTACTTACATCTGCCTCTCTCTTCTGTATAAATGTTTGCATTGCAGGTTATTTCCTATTCTGAATTTATTCAGCTTTGTATGGAAAGTATAGCCATTGAGATTGTGATGTGTGTGATATTAAAAGGGTTGAGTTGAAGATAGTAACAACAGTTGCAATGAAAGTGGGTTTGGAAATGAGACAATCTGTTCCACTGTTCTGGTTATTCAGACTTGTATGCAAATATCAATTAGCAACTTTCTGATCAAATTATTCAACACACTTTTTGCTTGTCTTATTGTATCAAGGCCCAGCAAACTCAACTGCAAATGTCCACTGTGTGTTTCTGGTTAGTTCAGTGGAAACACCTGCAACTAATAGCCATTGTTCACTTGCTAGCATAGCTCCAGGCACATGCTCACAGCCTGTACGTAGTTTTATATTTTGGGTTGTTAAAAATCTTGTCTATTTAAACAACCGGAATTTTCTGTGACTTTATCAAAAGTAGCTTTCTTTTTTGTTTGTCTAGTTGTACGCACTGCATTCAGTGAGGATACAGCTGGCTTCTTGGAGCTTTCAACCCTTTAATCCCAGTTTCAATCCAAATTGATCTGTGATAAAGTGAGGTCAGTTTCTAAAACATCTATTTCAAAATGCAAATTTAGAGTTACATCATATTTACAAGTTTCCATACTTTATTTAAATATTTTTGGGATAATTTTGGCTTTCTCGCAAGCAGTTGGTCTTCTAAATTCATGAACTACTCAAACAAAAGAGTTGCTGTTAACCTGGGCAGTATTACCTGCACATTCCTGTATTAGACTTTGTCCAGGACAGCTGTGGTGCATTTCTGTGCAGATTGTATTATGATGATAAATGCTCTTCTCCATCACACAACCTGGCACACTGCTGTGAAAGAACAGGAAGAAGAGCATCTCTGCCTCAACTGCATTTACTGGTCTTGGTTTTGTTTAATGCTCTTATTGTAAAATGCATATTGGTCTTGGTTTTCAAATTCAGTTGGCCAAAGCATCTCTCAACTGAACCCGTAACTTTTCTGGGGTTGGAGCCTCTTGTATGTAAAAGTGCTTTCTGACTGATTTCTGAATGGCCTGGCTCTAATTTGAAGATATATTCCCTTATTCTTATTTTGGGTTCCCCCACTAGAAGAAATAGGGCTGGTAAAGAAACTGCAAACTGCTTTAATTATACATCATTGGTTAGATCATCTTCTAACTTTCCATAATCAAATGTATAGAAGCCTAGCCTATGCAATATGTTCTTATAATTTCACCCTTTTATAACTGCTTTAATTCCCAGTGAATCCGCACTGCACCCTCTCTGAGTACAATACATCCTTCCTGTATTGTTGCCAGAACTGACAGTGCTCCAGATGTTAGGATAAGAGCTTTTTAAGGCTGTAGTGTAGTTTTCCTGCCTCAACTGAATTACCTTTGATACAATTTAAAACAATCATAAAACAGAGCTAAGAGTGAATAAAAGTGCATTGAAGCAGTGTCACTGACTGCCAGGAATGAGGAGTAGCAGGCCTGGTGTTGAAGAGATAATACCTTGTGCAGTGACCCTGCTTCAGGACTGATATTAGGACACACAACCAGAAAAGCTGCTCACTGCCATACTCTGGAGTTCCCAGTCTCCTCCATCTTGCAAAAATTATGTTGAATTATTTGTTTACTAAGTAACTCTTTGTATATAATTATTTTTTAAGTTCCTGAAACTTCCCAAATCACGAGAGCTTTCATTCAATATCTCAGCATTCCTGGATGAGAGGATATCTATCCACCTTTACAGTTTTTATATCTAACCTTATCTTGAGGTTTTATTACTGCTGGTCAGAGACACTTCAAAGGAGATTTGTTTTCTGAGTATCCTGTTTTTGTTTTTGTATTTGGCCAAACACACCCTTGCTCACTTACTCGTCCTATCCAAGTATCTGGACCATCTGTTCCTAGTCCTTCACCTGTCACAACTGTTACTAGGAGATTGAGTGTTATCTGGGGCAATTCCTTTTTCCTCTCTCTGCCACACCTCCTTCCACCCCCATCCCAATCGCATCTCCTTGTAACAAGAAGCCACTTATATCATGATATGCTAATCTCCATGAGTTCCTTAAGTCTTTTCACTTACAAATCATGTGGCCTGACATCCGATCCTGTATTTAGAGATTTATGATGAGCAGCAGTGAGCAGATTGAACCATTAACCTTGCGTAACTTCCAAGACTAATCTGGTACCCCTTTCAAAGTGTGTCCTCATTCCTGGCTTTCCCAGGTCTAGTTCTCAAAACATGTCACCATCTCTCAGCCTGCAATGGAGAGGGTGTCAAGACCGAGGTGGGTTCCGTTATTTTTTTTAAATTAAAAGGGAAGAGTTAAAAACATTGTACAATGTTCTTTTTGCTTATTTTACTCTTGTGATACAGTTTCAAAAATTTTAAATAAAGTTAAATGCGATTAAATGCTTTTTTAAAAAAGCAATAAGTTTGTAGAAAGTTATATGTACATTTAGGTTTTTTCCCCCCCACAACAATCTCTAGTATGGCCTCCATATCATGTTACATCATTTAACTTTGTTCTCTGCTGTTTTCTGTGTTGGTTTAATGTATCTATCTTGCCCCCTTTTAGTTGAATGGCAATTTTCTCTGCTAAGTTGCCACTAAATCAGAAAATCCAATTGTGATAATTTTGCGTGAATTCATGCTGCTGCTAATTCAGAAATTAATTCATAATCTTCATGCATTTCTTGTTGAAATTCAGACATTTAAGGAACATCTTTGGATATTTTCCGCTGCAGCTGATATATTGCCGGCAGTAGAACTAACCAATATAGCTGCCTCTGCAATATCTTACTCCAATAATTTAATACAGGTAGTCCTTGATTACTGCTATAGTTATAATCCTGAAAATCACCAGGTTAAACACAGTCGCATGTTCAAAACACATTACTGGAGAATCCCATGTAAATGTTTGGTATACATTTTCTAGAGAAACAAATAAAGAAGACTAAACACAACGCTGATGTAAAACACCAAAACAGACATGAGAGTATGCAAAAAAGAGCTTTTAATACTTCTTACCTCGTGTACAAGACTGTGTATGGGGAGGTGTAGGGCTGTGGTTCTTCATCTGACTTGCACTGCTCTGGAAATTGAATGTTGAGGATTATCCAGCCGCTGTTTTGCTTTGGAGGTGGAGGCTTGAGTGTCCTTGGGGGATTGATTTTTAAAAACTTATCCAGCCTTCATTGAGGCAGACATTTATTCCTTCACACTGCTGGAAGTATGGTAAGAATCACATTACCATAAATCAGATGCTTGTCTTTAGAATCATAGGTACTAATGTAAAAACCATGTTAATTGAGGACTACCTATAACTTTTACATTCTCTTTCCCCCATCCAAAGTGGATAAACATGTGCTTTCTGTTCTCCACACAGCAAAATTGTTGGATTGATATAGTTTTCTGATGTGAATTTGTGTTGACCTAGACCTGCCTCCAGCTCTCAAGTTCTGTTGCTTAACTGGTTGAAATATATTGAACAGTAGTGTCTTGTCAAATGAGGAATGTTCAAGGACTCTTGTTCTGTACTCAGTTTAGAAGAATGAAGAATAATCTGATTGAAACTGTCAGAATACTGAGAGGCCTGGATAAAGCGGACATAGAGTAGATGTTTCCACTAGTAGGAGAGACGAGGATCCAAGGGCACAGCCTCAGAGTGAAGGAATGACTCTTTAGGACTCAGATGAGGAGGAATTTCTCCAGCTAATGAGTGATGAATCTGGAATTCATTGCCGCAGAGGGATGTGGAGGCCAAGTCATTGAGTGTATTTAAGGCACAGGTTCTTAATTAGTAGGCAGATCAGAGGTTACAGGGGGAAGGCAGGAGAATGGGGTTGAGAAATGTACCAGTATTGATTGAATGGCCAGGTAGATCCGATGGGCCATGTGGCCTAATTCTGCTCCTTTATCTGATGGTTTTATGATCTATGGTCTTAAAGCACCATCATCAGCCTTGTGCTTTAGTCACAGGCAGTTTGAACAATGCCAGCTGAATCAACCAGAAGTTGAAAATTCTTCACCCAGGGAAGATCATGCCCTACAGTGGGAAGCCACCCCCCGCCTCAAATAAAAGGCAAGCCTCAGATGGAACAATATGCAAATCCTGTTCCCTTTGGTTATTCTGAAGTTTATCTTGCTATAACTTTGCCCATTTAAACCCTTACTGAACTGCTCTGCCTTGGCCATCTGTTGTCATACTTATCCTTTCTCCATGAATATCCTCTTGCAACAAATGTTTTTCCTGGCTCAAATTGTGGATGCATTTTGGTGCTAAATACCTGTTAACTGTAGGTTTAAAGCTAGCTGGGCTCACCTGCCATCCCTGATCTTGCCTATGGGTACTCTATCTTTGCTTAAATTTGGTTTCCAAATCCCTGTGTATCCAGACCGTTCTCCACTGCTCCACACCAACACTCCTATTCAGCTGTTTAACTTATTACAAAACAACTTCTTGCTTACAGCCCGTTCCTCCTGCCACTGTTAACTGCTGAGCCTGTGATTGTGCCTGTGATTTTTCAACTACATTCAGATTCCAGACTGAAGTCCATATTTCCAGTGCTTCTCGAAGTCTTGTAACATGCCACGCCACATTCTGTCAGCAATTGATTTTTGCATGCTCTTTCAATCTTTATTTCCATGGACATACTTTCAGCAGTGTCCTCTGGCACTACCCTTTAAATAGTCTCAGGTCTCACTTGAACTGCAGCTCTGCCTATTAAGGAAGTGCAGGAGCATGGAGAACCTGGCTGTATATTTGCATATGTCATTAAAGATGGTGGGACCAGTAGCGAGAGCGGTTAATGAAGTATACAGTATTCTAGCCTTCATTAATGGGGCCAAAGAGTACAAGAACAGGAAAAGTTATACTGACCTTGTACAAGTCACTGGTTGGACCTCAGCTGAGTATTGTGTACACTTCTGGGTGCTACACACTTGCACAATGGTCACTTTGAAGACTGGGTACAAGGACATCCAGGTCCCTTTGTCCATCAACCTTTCCCAATTTAACACAGTTTAAGTACTCACCTACCAAAGTGGAAACTTCATGATTATCTACTTTATACTGCATCTGCCATGCATTTGCCACTCATTCAACTTGTTTAAATTGGCTTGAAGCCTTTTTACATGCTCCTCACCACTTTTACTCTCACCCAATTTTTGTCATCAGTAAACTTGGAAATATTTAATTTTTCCTCTTTCAGGTACTTTGCCCTTTTTATTTGTTCTTGGCATGTGAGCAAGGCCAGCATTTATTACCTACCCCAATCACTGTGGGAGAAGGTAGTGATAAACTGCCTTTTGGAATTGTTGTAGTTCACGTGGTATTTGCATCAGTAGTAGTGTTCGGGCATTGCACGATTTTGACTCAACAGCAGTGAAATTGGAATGATTATAATTTCAGGTCAGTACAGTGTGTGGCTTGGAGAGGGCCTTGCAGCTGATAGTGTTCACATGATTCTGCTGCGCTGGCCTAGGTCTTGATGACTTATTGCAGTGCGTCTCACAGAGATGGTATTCACTGCTCTCTGTGTGTTGGTGGACAGCGTGCATACTGAAGGTTACGGATGGGGTGCCAGTCAAGTAGACTCTTTTAACCTGGATGTTATTGAACTTCAAATGTTGGACCTGCATCCATCCAGGTAAATGGAGATTACTCCATCACACTCCTGATTTGTGCTTTCTAGATGCTGGACAGGCTTTGGAGAGTCAGGTGAGTTGCACTCCTCCCATTGAGAATCATCACGCTTTACTGTACTGGAGTGCTATGTTGACTCTCGGTAAAGCAATTCAGTTAGTCCCATTCTCCTGCTCCAACTCCATATTATGAACTTCTTTGGATGCCGTTAACTTCAGTAATGTTCAGCTTTAGATCATAGAACAGTACAGCACAGAAACATTGACAGACATCTTTGTGTCCTCTTGGCCACAAGTGAGGTCCAAGAGGATTGGAGAATAGCCAATGTTGTCACATTGTTTTAAAAAGGGTAATGGATAATCCAGGAAATTACAGGCCTGTGAGCCTCACATCAGTGGTAGGGAAATTATTGGAAAAGATTCGCAGGGACAAGATCTTATATGCATTTAGAAGCAAATGGACTGATTAGTGATAAACAGCATGGTTTTGTGAGAGAAGGTAGTGCCTCAGTAACTTGATCGAGTTTTTTCAGGAGGTGAGAAAGATGAGTGAGGGAAAAGCAGTTGATGTTGTCTACATGGACTTCAGTAAAGCCTTTGTCAAGGTCCCTCATGGCAGACTGGTACAAAAGGTGAAGTCACATGGTATTAGGTAGGCTAGCAAGATGGATACCAACCTGGATTAATCATAGGAGACAGTGGGTAGTGGAAGGATGCTTTTCAGAATGGAGGGTTGTGACTAGTGGTGTTCCACAGGGATCAGTTCTGTGACTACTGCTGTTCGTGATCTATGTAAATGATTTGGAGGACAACAGCTGGTCTCATTGGTACGTTTGCAAATGATACAAAGATTGGTGGAATAGTGGGTAGTGAGGAGGATTGTCAGAGGATACAGCAGGATATAGATCAGTTGGAGGCATGGGCAGAAAAATGGCAGATGGAGTTTAATCCAGACAAAGGTGATGCATTTTGGAAGGTCAAGTACAGGTGGAAATTATACACTGAATGGCAGAACCCTTAGGAGTATTGATATGCAGAGGGATCTGGGTGTGCAGGTCGAAGGATCATTTGAAGGTGGCAGCGCAGGTAGATAAGGTTGTAAAAAAGGCCTGTGGCATGCTTGCCTTCATTGGAAAGGGTATTGAGTATAAAGATAGACAAGTTATGCAGCAGCTTCTCTTAACTCTAGTTAGAATATTGTGTACAGTTCTGGTCACCACACTACCAGAAGGGTGTGGATGCTTTGGAGAGGGTACAGAAACAGTTTACCAGATGTTGCCTGCTACGGATGATTTTAGCTATGACGAAAAGTTGGATAGACTGGGTTTGTTTTTATTGGAACACAGGAGGTTGAGGGGTGACCTGGTAGAAATTTATAAGATTGTGAATGGCATGGATAAAGTAGAAAGTAAGAGGCTTTTTTTCTAGGATTGAAGGGTCAATTACTAGGAGACATGGGTTCAAAGTGCAAGGGAGGGGGGGTGGAAGTTTAAAAGAGATGTGCAAGGCATGATTTTCACACAAAGGGTGGTGAGTGCCTGGAACATGCTGCCAGAGGAGGTGGTGGAAGCAGACACAATAGCAACATTCAAGAAGCACCTGGACGAATACATGAATAGGAAGGGAATAGAGGGATATGGATCCTGTAAGTGAAGACAGTTTCAGTATGGAAGGGCAAAATATGTTGGCGCAGGCTTGGAGAGCCAGTTCCTGTGCTGTATTGTTCTTTGAACACCCCCTTCACCCCACTGTTTCTGCACCAACCATGATGTCATTCTAATCTAATGCTATCTGCCTGCACATGGTCTGTATTTCTCTATTCCTTGCCTGTTCATATGCCTCTCTAAATGCCTCTTAACATTGCTATTGTAGCTGCTTCTACCACCTCCACTAGTAGTGCGTTCCAGGCACCTATCACCCTCTGGGGAAACCAAGTTGCCTCTCATATCTCCTTTAAACTTTCCTCCTCTCAACTTAACATGTGCCATTAGTATTTGACTTTTCCACCTGAGGGAAAAGACACAGACTATCCACGTTAGTCATGTTTCTCATAATTTTGTATGCTTCTATCAGGTCACCCTTCAGCCTCCAACGCTCTCGCGAAAACAAACTAAGTTTGTCCAATCTCTCCTTTATAGGTGCTTCACTCCAATCCAGGCAACATCCTGGTAAACCCTTCTAAAGTCTCCACATCCATCATATAGCATGGGGCAGAACTGCACACAATACTCCAAATGTGGCTTAACTAAAGTTTTATAACGTGATAGACTCTTAACAGCCTTCTGGACAATTAGGGATGGACAATAAATGCTGCCCTAGCCAGCAATGCCTTCAAGCTGTGAATGAATTAAAAATGCAAATATAACATGACTTAGTGATAGTAGGAACTGCAGATGCTGGAGAATCCGAGACAACAAGGTGCAGGGCTGGATGAACACAGCAGGCCAAGCAGCATCATAGGAGCAGAAAGGCTGACGTTACGGGCCTAGACCCTTCATCATGACTTGTCAACTTTTATACTCAGTCCCCTGACTGATGAAGTTAAGCATGCTGTATGCCTTCTCTACCACCTTATCCAGTTGTGTTGCCACTTTCAGGGGACTGAGGAGATCCTGAGATCCCTCTATTTCAATGCTTCTAAGGGTTCTGCCATTTATTGTATACTTTCCTCTTGCATTTGACCTCCTAAAATGCACCACCTCATACTTGCCTGGATTAACCTCCAACTGCAATTTTTCCACCCAACTTTCCAACTGATCTATATCCTGATGTATCCTTAGGCAACCTTCCTCACTATTCAAAACTCCTCCAATTTTCATGTCATCTGCAAACTTACTATTCAGGCCACTGATATTTTCATCCAAGTTGCTAATAAAATATATAAAAAACAAACAACAGACATCCCAGCATTGATCCTTGCAGAACACCACTGGTCACAGCCCTCCAGTGAAAAAAAAACACAGCTCCACAACTACCTTCTATGACCAAACCAATTATCTAAATTACCAATTCCAACCTTCTGGACCAGCCCGCCGTGAGGGATCTTGTCAAATGCTTTAGGAAAGGGCATGTCGACAACATCCAATGCCTTGTGCTCATCAATCATCTTTGTCAGTTCCTCAAAAAATTCAATCATGTTTTTGAGAGACCACCCCTGCGCTAAGCCATGTTGACTATCCCTGATGTGTCCATTCTTTTCCAAATGCGAGTAAATCCTGACCCTAAGAATCTTCTCCAATAATTCCCCTACTACTAATGTAAGGCTTACTGGCTTTAATTTTCTAGATTATCCCTGTATTCCCTTCTTAAACAACATGGGCTGGTGTCCTGTCTTCTGGGACCTCACCTGTAGTTGAAGAGAATACAAAGATCTCTCTTAAGGCCCTAGCAATCACCACTTTTCCTTCAGTATCCTAGGGTTTATCACCTTAAAGTTTTTCAAGACCCCCAACACCACCTTAATATTGACATGCCCTAAACTAAAGCAAGATGGTGGCAGAGTAGGACACTCCTGCCAGAGCTCCTTTGCTCTGCCTGTTATTTTTTCTTTTTTTTTCCTCTCTTCTTAACCTTCCCTCATCTCCCTTCAGCGCCAGCAGCGAGTCCTGGAGTGCAATCCTGAGGAACAAGCCAGAACACACAAACTGGGGTCGTGCAGGGTACAAGCCAGTACAGTGTGTAGGCTGTGAGCCCCAGAAGACAGTGTGGGCTGCGAGCCCTGGAGCATCGCGGGGAATCCCAAGTCCCGGAGCTGCATGAGGGAAGTGGATCCCGGTAAAGTGCGAGTTACCTTGTTAATGCCGATAAGGAGCGCACTGGAGGCTGGAGCAATGCAGGACGGTTGTTGGACTTGGGCCTGGCACCTCGTGCTGACCTGCTGCTGTTCAGTACTCTTACCAGACTGTAATGTATATCCTTACCTTTCAATTCCCTTGTGTAACAATATTATATTTGTTACTCTAAGATGGCATTGCAGATGACACTAAGATGAGTGGCAGAGCAAAGTGTGCAGAGGACTGTAAAACTTTGCAGAGGAGCATAGATACATTGAGTGAGTGGGCAAAGGTCTGGCAGATGGAATACAATGTAAATAAATGTGAAGTCATACATTTTGGTAGGAGTAATAGTGAAAAGATTATTACTTGAATGGTAAAAAGTTGCAGCATGCTGCTATGCAGAGGGACCTGGGTGTCCTTGTGCATGAATCACAGAAGGTAGGTCTGCAGGTACAACAAGTAATTAGGAAGGCAAATGGAATTTTGTCCTTCATTGCTAAAGGGATTGAGATTAAAAGCTGAGAGGTTATATTGCAGCTATACAAGGTGCTGGTGAGGCCACACCTGGAGTACTGTGTGCAGTTTTGGTCTCCTTACTTGAGAAAGGATGTACTGGCACTGGAGGAGGTGCAAAGGAGGTTCGCTAGGTTGATTCCGGAGTTGAGGGGGTTGGCTTATGAGGAGAGACTGAGTAGATTGGGATTATATTCATTGGAGTTCAGAAGATTGAGGGGGGATCTTAATAGAAACATATAAAATTATGAAGGGAATAGATAAGATAGAAGTAGAGAGGATGTTTCCACTGGCAGGTGAAGCTAGGACAAGAGGGCATAGCCTCAAGATTAGAGGGAGCAGATTTAGGACTGATTTGAAAAGAACTTCTTCACCCAGAGGGTCGTTAATCTATGGAATTCCTTGCCCAGTGAAGTAGTTGACGCTACTTCAGTAAACGTTTTTAAAGATAAGGTAGATACTTTTTTGAACAATAAAGGAATTCAGGGATACGATGAGAACGCGGGTAAGTGGATCTGAGTCCACGAAAAGATCAGCCATGATCTTAGTGAATGGCGGAGCAGGCTCGAAGGGCCGGACGGCCTACTCCTGCTCCTAGTTCTTATTAAAAGGCAGCCATTGTAAAAACTTTTCATTGTACTTCTGTACTGGAGTACAAGTGAAAATAAAGGATATTCTATATTCTATTCTCAATTTTGCCATCATCTACATCCGTCTCCGTGGTGAATATCATTGTGTCAATCTTTTCCCTAGCTTTGATATCTTATCTTTCTCTAGTTTCTATCTTGGATTCTTTCACGACGTCTGAGCTTCTTTTGTTCAGGAGGACCAAGATCCTACTGCCTCGAACCTATTTCCTCTGAACAACTGACTACCCAACTACCCTCCTAGCCTCTCTGTTAATTATATAGTTAATGGCTTCCTCCCACCAGGTATTGCCTGCTTGTCCTTCCAATGTAGTGTCCACTCTTTTTTATAAAAAGCCATTCACTCCCCTGCCCCCACCTCCCACTAAATCCTTGCAGATTGCTATCCCCAGCTCCAAGCTACTTTCCACTTCTGGGAGAGTCTGGAATCTGAGGGCATAATCTTAGAGTAAGGGGTCACTCATTTAGGACAGAGATTAGGAGGTATTTCTTCTTTTGAGACAGTCGTGAATCTGTGAAATTCTTTCACCATAGAGGACTGTTGAGGCTCAGTCATTAATATTATTCAAGACCTGAGGTAGGCAGGCGTTTAATCAGTAATGGAATCGAGGCTTATACTGATAAGATAGGAATGTGAAGTTACGGATTATCATATCAACCATGATTTTGTTGGATGGGGAACAGATTCAATGGGCTGAATGGCCTATTTCTCCTACATGTAGGCACTAATGTTTGATGTCATAGAGGCGAGGATTTCACGTCTAACTTTAAGATTTCCCGTTCAATCATAAATTTTTTTTCTTTAATTGATTAATCACAATGGTTTGATAATAAAATGGGACTGGTTTGTTTGTGCATTCAATTTAAACTCTTGTAACAGTGGCTTGTTTGAGCTGCTTCTCTGGGTCAATGATTGCTAGGTAGTGTAGGTCAAACGATTAAATGTAGAATTCAGTTTCACCAATGTTCATCTGTCTGTTCACAATTATATGCTACTTTTCAGCAGTAGGCTTGGGTTCTTTATGAATTGCAACTGTGCTGTTGGGTGTGGGACAACCATACCTAGTGTAAATATTAATCATATTCTTTTGACCAATTTTTTGTTCCATGTAAACCAAAGCACAGGGTCATGTTTTTAAACTGCAGGTGTATTTTGTAGATAGCAAGGCCTGGATTGAAGATCATGGAGTACGCTAGTTTCAATAGCAATGGGTGTTCAAGGTGTGCAAGGTGAAACAGGGTCGGTGGCAAGGCAAATCGGGCTTCTCAACTAAACCAGCAACTGGGTGTTAGGGCTCAGAACATCTGGTTATTCGTCTCCTTTTAAGAGTTCTACATATGGATAGACATTTTGCAAAAGGAATTTGTCAAAAGTTATGGAGAAAGCTTAAGCAACAATACACGAGGACAGGGAGAAAGGCAGACCATTCAGCTTATCAAAGTGCCAATAAACAGGATTATGTCTGAAACAAGCAGAGAGAAAGTCAGTAGGGCTGGAGCTTATGCCTGATCCTGATCTTCAACTGAACTTTCATGACTGGCCTATGCCACTGATAGAGAAATGCACTGATGGTTCACTTGATCACCTCAGCTTGCGATCCTTCTGACTGGGATCCAAACACGTCTTCCAGGTGAAGCCATGCTTTACCTGCAATTCATTCAATCTAGCCTACTGTATTTGCTGCTCACAATGTGGTCTCATACAGCACAGAAACAGATCTTTCAGTCCAGTCAGTCCATAGTGACCATTATCACAAACTAAACCAGTCCCACCTGCCTGTGCTTGGTCC